CCCCGCCCCCTGCTGCTGCTGCTGCTGCTGCTGCTGCTGCTGCTGGCACGGCCAAACGCCCACTGATGAAACGCAGCCAGCAGCGCCAGTTCTCAGACTCCCCGCATGCAGAAGCAGCTGAGGGGCCGCTTCAGGGGCCCCCTGCTGCTGCAGGGGGGCCCCCTAAGTGGGGGGCCCCCGGGGGGCCCCCGTCCAGCTCCCGGGGGCCCCCCTCCAGCTCCCGGGGGCCCCCCTCTGCAGCAACTGCTTCTACGGAGGGCCTCAAAGGCATGCGCAGCATGCCTTTGGACTTGACAAAAGTGAAGAACAAACACAGCAGCGAAGCTGTCCCTAAACTGTCTCCCCAAGAGCTGCAGCAGCTGCAGCAGCAGCAGCAGCAGCAGCAGCAGCAAGGAGAGGAAACCGACACAGATGCTTCCAACGGCGAACACGATGAGGGGCCCCCCACCTTCTTCGGGGCGGGCAGAGACGCAGCAGCAGCAGCAGGAAGCAAAAGGGGGGCCCCCAAGGGGCCCCCCAAGGGGGGCCAACCTAAGGGGTCCCTCACCAAGGGGCCCCCCAATGGGCCCCCCCAGGGGCCCCCCAAGAAGTGGGGGGCCCCCCCAGCACCCTACAGCTTGGAGGCGGTCCCTGTGGAGCCCCCTGAGGGCCCCTCTGGCTCTGGGGGCCCCTCGTGGGGGCCTCCGGGGGCCCCTTTAGACAAGGAAGAAGCAAAAGGACTTATAAAAGAGACAGAAACTGAAAAAGGGGACAAACAAATCTCAGAAAAGAACAACAAGTGGTGGGCCCCCCTGCTGCATCCCTCCCACTTCAACTTCTGGGATTTGGGGGGCCCCAGCGACTCCGAGGGGGCCTCCAGCGACAGCGGAGGGGCCCCCAGCGAAGCTGGGGGGCCCCCCGGTGGGGACCAGGGGGCCCCCAGTGGGGTGGGGGGGGCCCCCACCGGGGGTCCCCCCGCCTCTGAAGGAGACAGAGAGATTCCCAGGACCCCCAAAGCAGCAGACATGATTTTAAAAGAGATTGCTGAAGTGCCTTGGGAGCTAAGGGGACACCCCAGACAGCAGCAGCAGCAGCAGCAGCAGCAGCAACAGCAGCAGCAGCAGCAGCAGGAAAGGGCACAGCTGCTGCAGCCACCTACGGGTGGCCCCCTCACTCCCAACAAGTCAGCAAGGGGGCCCCCGCCCCCGCCCGCAACGAGCAGCTTGCCTTCTTGGGGGCCCC